CATTGAAAATTTTATCTCTGTTTTAAGCAAAGTGTCTACAGTATTAGCAATGAACAATTTCAACAAATACAATGCAAAGCAATGTTGAATTTCAAGTTACAACTACATCTAAGGTTGAGAAATTACATTAAGCACAATGTTAAATTCAATTCTCCAACCACATCTAAGGACTAGGTGTTCATTCCAGTCCATTCTATAATAAACCAGAATGCTATTCACATCCCGCAAATGGATTATATATGGGGTTCTGGCAGGCATTTCGGGTGTTGGAGTTGCAGGTGTCGTAACTATCCAGGGATTTTGGTTCTGGTGAATTGGATTGACTGCATAGGGGATAGCGATTCCGATATATTCTATGTTGGTCAAGTGTTGCTGAATCAAATCAATTTTAGATAAAGCGTGACTACGATCTGGATCTCTGTTATAGAAAACCTAAGTGGATTCGAATCTGGTAAGCAAAACTGTACATTGTTTTTTTCAAAAAAATTTAAAACAATTACCTCTATCCATACGTTTGGAGGTGGGCACGAGTTGGCAATGGGTCTTGAACTTTGTGCAAATGTTGGGGTCTGAAACCAAATGCCAACATCAGGTCGAAAATTATTACCTCCCATCACACAATTCATATCAATATTTACATCCCAACTCGGATTTTGCGTCATAGCCGAATGTGCCAGATTAAAATGGATTTTAACCTTATGTCTTCCATCATACTATGTGATATCGGTGAAATTAATAAATATTAATAAATGATATACATATTGTGGTGTGTAAGCTATAATGAAACTCACTTTGATAAATAAGTCTTTCCCAATTATCTCGGCGTCATATCTTTCGTGTATCGCTTCGCGGATATTGATATTATCCAGTTTATAGGTGGAAAGATTGACCTTAACAACGTCTTCCTTTTGCTCTGGCATCAATGATTCCAATGATTTGTCAATATACATAAAGATCTATTGTATTGTTGTCATTAGTCATATTTTCCGACACTATCATAAACACTACTTATATCAATTACATCATA